GAACCTTTAGACCAGCAGCAGTGTGCATGTCTATAATCCCACTATTTAGGAGGATAAAGGAGGAGGATTTCAAGTTTGAGGCCAGCATCAGCAATTTAATGAAGCTGTCTCAAAAAAGGAAAAGGGATGGGAACAGTACTACAAAAGAAAAAAAAGGAAGGAAGGAACCTTTAAAAAAAAAAAAAAAGGGGCTGGGGATGTGGCTCAAGCGGTAGCGTGCTCGCCTGGCATGCATGCGGCCTGGGTTTGATCCGCAGCACCACATACAAACAAAGATGTTGTGTCCGCCGAAAATAAATATTAAAAAATTCTTAAAAAAAAAAAACCTTGCTTGGTTCTTACTGTGCTTTAACATACAACTTCATTTTCATTCTTAAAAGTTTTCTGTAGGGTCAGCAGACTGTGGCTATTCCCATTTGAGAGATGAAACTAAGGATGATATGAAAATCACTTTCCAGAAGTTGGACAGCAAGTATGCAATGAATTGATAGACAGGCAGTATCCCTCAGATATAAGTCCCAACATAACTGACTTCTTTACTAGGCTCTCCAGCAGGGCGAGGAGGAATAGGAAGAAGGAGAAAGAAGGGGAAGAGGAAGAAGAGGAAGGGGAAGGGGAAAGGAAGGGAGAGAGGGAGAAGGAAAACCAAATTGCAGCACCAAGCCCAAATTCTTTCACAAGGAAATTCTCCTGAATTTTGAAGAAACCAAACTCAGTAGTATAGTGTTATTTAAACTGTCCCAGATACAGAAAGGAAAAGTAAGTTTAAAAATCCATTCTTAAATCAGGCTCAGTGGTAATGGCTGTAATCCCAGCAACCAAAGAGGCTGAAAAGGGAGGATCAAATTCAAGGCCAGCCTCAGCAATTTACCAAGACCCTCAGCAATTTTAGTGAGACTCTGCCTCAAAATAAAAAAGACTGAGGACATAGCTCAGTAGTAAAAACACCCCCCTGCGCTCAATCCTCAGCACCAAAAAGAAAAAAATTCTTTCTTAAAAAGCAAGCCTACAAAGAGTAACAAAACTTTCTTTTTACTTGACCCAATAAAACTGCTATTAATTTCATTTAAGAGTACTGGTTGGGCTGAGGCTGTGGCTCAGTGGTAGCGCATTCGCCTGGCTTGTGTGAAGCACTGTGTTTGATTCTCAGCACCACGTATAAATAAATAAAATAAAGGTCTATCAACAGCTAAAAAATATTTAAAAAAAAAAAAGAGTACTGGTCAAATTTCCTTTTAAAATAAACAATCGAAATCCAAAAGCAGGGCTGGGGTTGTGGCTCAGCAGTAGAGCCCTCACCTAACACGCTTGAGGTCCTGGGTTTGATCCTCAGCACCACATATAAATAAATAAAATAAACGTATTGTGTCCAACTACAACTAAAAAATAAATTTTAAAAAAACCCAAAAGCACATGAAAATAATAAATTATGACAAGGGATTAAGGGATTTTTCCAGGAATAAATAATGGTTTTACATTAGTATATTTGTTTTATCCTTCTTTGTGTGTACATGTGTGTAAGGATAAGTAAATAAACACAGACACATACATAAATGTACATATGAATATATACACAGTCTGTATCTCTGACAGAACCTAGGAGCAACACTCCAATTACAATAAGCACTTAAAGCTTAGCTTCAAAATAACTGGGGTAGACAAAATTCAAAATGAGCTTAGATAGTTCAGTGCTCCAGAAATAAAAGGAGTGTTTACAAAAATCATGGAACATGTAAAACAGGCAATCCAACTTGACAGTTTCCAACTTGATAACAATGTGAGTGTCAATACAAATAATAATATTAACAGATAATAACTCAATGAATTTTAATAAACCATAAATCCAAACTGATTAAATAAATTGAAAGCTTAAAAAGGCAGAAGATATTTACATACTTCTTTAAAAGAAAGAGCAGAGAAGCATAGAAGATTATCTTAAGCAATTAAAGGAAACATTTCCAGTAAAAGAACAAAATGAAGGGCTGGGGTTGTGGCTCAGTGGTAGAGTGCTTGCCTAGCACACGTGAAGCAATGGGTTTGATCGTCAGAACCACATAAAAAATGAATAAATAAAAAATGAAGTTATGAAGTCCATCTACAAGTAAAAAAAAAAATAAACAAGAACAAAATGAAAATGTGTGCTACCTGGAAAGATGCAGTGAAAAGAATAGAAAATGACTTCTGTGATATTCCTGCCAACAATGCCTCAAGAATCTGGTACAGAGGAAAACAGCAGACAAGCCAAAATTAAGGGAGACTCTAACTGGCCTATAATCTTTAAAAAAGTGTCAAGATGAGGATAATCAAGATCAACAAAAATCACCTCAAATCAATATTTGAAGCCAGGCACGATTGCAGTGGACTATGATCCCAGCAAGGGAGGCTAAAGCAGGAGGATCACAAGTTCAAGGCCAGTCAGGGCAACTTAATGAGATCCTGTCTCAAAATAAAAAATAATAAGGGCTGGGAATACAGCTCTGGAATAGAGCACCCCTGAGTTCAATTCCCAGTACCTCAACAAAAAAAAAATAATAATAATTATATATATATATATATATATATATATATATATATATATAAAATCAGTATTTGAGATTGAGGGATGCCTAAAAAGATCCAAAAACAGGAAAATGCAATGCATCATTCTGGATTAGATACTTTTGCTGAATAGTTTATAAAAATATTAATTACTAAAACAAATGGTAAAAAATGAAGGGTCTACAAATTAGATGACAGTAATCTATCAATGTTAATTCCTGAATTTTTTTGGTTTTGGTTTTTTTTGTTGTTGTTGTTGTTAGTTTTTTGTTTTGTTTTGTTTTTAGGGTTTTTTTTGGTACCAGGAATAGAACCACATCCCCATCTCTTTTTCTTTTTTGAGACAAGGTCTCATTAAGTTGCTTAGGGCCTCAGTAAGTTGCTGAGGCTGGCTTTGAGCTCACAATCCTCTTGCCTCAACCTCCCAATCCACTGAAATAACAGGTGCCATTGAGCCCAGCTATTTCCTGATCTTCATGAATACACACTGGTTATTCAGAAAAATGTAGTAAATGTGTACTGAGTTATTGTGGATGGATGGGGCATGAAGGCAACTCACTTAATTTTTCAAAGAAATAAAAGTTCTTTGTACCATAATTGGAATTTTTCTAAAAATTGACATTATCCCAAAGGAAAAAATTAAAATATGAAGGAAAAAATTTAAGAAATCTTTAAGACCAGAATAAAGATAACTTTAAAATGTCTGTAATAAGGGCTTAAAAAGAAGATGTAAATGGAAAGATATACTGTATTTTCAGCCAAGAAAACTTAGCATCTTCAAGATAGCTTTATAGGTAAGTCCACAAATTAAATATATTGTCAATAAAAGCAAGTAATAGTTTTTGGAACTAGACAGTTGATTCCAAAGTCAAATATAATGAAGAAAAATAAATAAGAATAGTCCGTAAATTTCTAAAAACATATAATAAAGCTAAAGCTAAGGCAATTACAACACTGACATAATGATTCATGAACAGATCATTACACAGAAATAAAATCAACCTAGGGGCTGGGGATATAGCTCACTTGGTACAGTGCTTGCTTCGAATGCAGACAACCCTAGGATGAATCTGCAGCACCAAAAAAAAAAAAAAAAAAAAATCCAACCTAAATGACTTTCAGCCTTGCATTAGTTAAACACCTTATTGTGGTATGGACCTTAAATGTCCTCCAAAAGCTCCTAGGTTGATGGCTTAGTTCCCAGATAATAGAACTATTGGCAAGTGGTAAAAACTTTAGGAGGTGAAGCCAAGATTAAGGAAGGTGAAGGGTATAGTGAGATCACTGGGCTTGTTCTCTCTTTTTTCTTCCCAGACTCCCTGAAGGGAGCAATTTCCTTCATCATGCCCTCCTATCATGATGTGCTGTCTTGCCAAAGGCAACAAGGCCAAGTGACAATGGACTGAAACCATGTGCCAGACCAAACCTTTCCTTCTTTTAAACTGATGATTGCAGGTATTCTGTCACAATAATCAAAAGCTGACTGGGATACCTTATGGTATGTGTATATAATGAAAAACTGTGCAAACACATATAGGGAGCTCTATATATACTAATATTAAAAAAAAACTACCTTCATGTTAAACTGTTAGTAAAGAAAAGAGAGAGAGAGAGAGATTAAAAAAATAAGTATAGATGACTGGGCACAGTGGTGCACATGTGTAATCCCAGACTTGAAAGGCTGAGGAAGGAGGGTTGCAAGTTTGATGCTGGCCTCAGCAATTTAGCAAGGCCCTAAGCAATTTAGTGAGACCCTGTCTCAAAATAAAACATCAAAAGGTCTGGAGATATAACTCAGTGGAGATAAAACACCTTGGGTTCAATCCCCAGTAACAACAAAGAAAAAGTACACATAATACCATTTGTGTAAAAAATGTACACATATGCTTATATAGAGTATCTCTAGAAAGCCCTAAAGGAAACTGCTTAACAAAGGTTGACCAAAGGGAAGTAATGAGATACCTAAAGGCCAAAGTTAAGAAAATACATTTTCTGTCCCTTTATATCTCTTATACCTCTATCTTATTTTATACTTTGTTGTTTACCTTGTATTACCTATTCAAAAATTAAAAGTAGTGACGAAAGCTGTAATCCAGCTGGGCCTATAATCCCAGCTGCTCAGGAGACTGAGGCAGAAGAATCAAAGCTAACCTTCCCCAAGTTAGTGAGGGCCTAACCAACTCAACAAGATCCTCTCTCTCAAAGAAAATACTAAAAAAGGGCTGGGGATGTGGCTAAGTGGTTGAGCACTGCTGAGTACAATCCCTGGTACACCCCCCCCCCAATTAAAAATTGAAGAAATATTGTTATATAAATAAAATATTTTTAAAGATAAAAATCATCAAAGCTAGCAAGTAGCTCAGTGGATAGAATGCATGCTAAGTGTGTGTGAGACTGGATTCAATTCCCAGCACCACCAAAAAGAAAATAAATAATCAAAAAACAAAGAAAAATGAATTTACCTATTTAGCTCATGGCCATATTCTTCCTATTAATGAAAAATGCCTGATTGTGGGGCTGGGGATGTGGCTCAAGCGGTAGCGCGCTCGCCTGGCATGCGTGCGGCCCGGGTTCGATCCTCAGCACCACATACAAATGAAGATGACGTTGTGTCCGCCGAAAACTAAAAAATAAATATTAAAAAAAAAAATTCGCTCTCTCTCTTTCTCTCTCTTTTTTTTTTTAATTTTTTATTGTTGGTTGTTCAAAACATTACATAGTTCTTGATATCATATTTCACACTTTGATTCAAGTGGGTTATGAACTCCCATTTTTACCCCGTATACAAATTCCAGAATCACATCAGTTACACATCCATTGATTTACATATTGCCATACTAGTGTCTGTTGTATTCTGCTGCCTTTCCTATCCTCTACTATCCCCCCTCCCCTCCCCTCCCCTCTTCTCTCTCTACCCCCTCTACTGTCATTCATTTCTCCCCCTTGTATTATTTTCCCCTTTCCCCTCACTTCCTCTTGTATGAAATTTTGTATAACCCTGAGGGTCTCCTTCCATTTCCATGCAATTTCCCTTCTCTCTCCCTTTCCCTCCCACCTCTCATCCCTGTTTAATGTTAATCTTCTTCTCATGCTCTTAGTCCCTACTCTGTTCTTAGTTACTCTCCTTATATCAAAGAAGACATTTGGCATTTGTTTTTTAGGGATTGGCTAGCTTCACTTAGCATAATCTGCTCTAATGCCATCCATTTCCCTGCAAATTCTATGATTTTGTCATTTTTTAATGCAGAGTAATACTCCATTGTGTATAAATGCCACATTTTTTTTATCCATTCATCTATTGAAGGGCATCTAGGTTGGTTCCACAGTCTTGCTATTGTGAATTGTGCTGCTATGAACATCGATGTAGCAGTGTCCCTGTAGCATGCTCTTTTTAGGTCTTTAGGGAATAGACCTAGAAGGGGAATAGCTGAGTCAAATGGTGGTTCCATTCCCAGCTTTCCAAGAAATCTCCATACTGCTTTCCAAATTGGCTGCACCAATTTGCAGTCCCACCAGCAATGTACAAGTGTACCCTCTTCCCCACATCCTCGCCAGCACTTGTTGTTTGACTTCATAATGGCTGCCAATCTTACTGGAGTGAGATGGTATCTTAGGGTGGTTTTGATTTGCATTTCTCTGACTGCTAGAGATGGTAAGCATTTTTTCATGTACTTGTTGATTGATTGTATGTCCCCCTCTGAGAAGTGTCTGTTCAGGTCCTTGGCCCATTTGTTGATTGGGTTATTTGTTATCTTATTGTCTAATTTTTTGAAGATGTTGTTGTGTCCACCGAAAACTAAAAAATAAATATTAAAAAAAAAAATCGCTCTCTCTCTTTCTCTCTCTCTTTAAAAAAAAAAAAAAAGATTATAAAAAAAAAATGCCTGATTGTGTACCCCATCAATAAACTGTTTCCAAATTTCAGGCAAGGCTTCCTTTTGAAAGTTGAATAGATAAAAACAAAATGAATGAGATAAGCTACCTGTCAAACAAACAAAAAAGGCATATATATCAGCCATCCACTCAAAGGGATGCCTGTGACCATGCTGAGTGCTTGCTTAGCATGCAGGAGGCCCTGAGTTCAATCCCCAGCACCACAAGAAAAAAGAAAAACTTTATTGGCAAGGAAGTTTTTTTTATAGTGTTGTGTTGTGTTTTTTTTGTTTGTTTGTTTGTTTTGCAGTACTGGGAATTGAACCTAGGGGCGCTCTACCATTGAGCTGCATTCTCAAGCCTATTTATTTTGTTGATTTGAGACACTCTCTCTAAATTACCCAGGCTGGCCTTGAACCTATGATCCTCCTGGCTCAGCCTCCTGAATGGCTGGGATTATAGGCATGAGCCACCAGACCAGCTGCAGGAAAGAATGAGCAAAGCTGTATGCTCCATGGTTCAGGGAAATCCCACAGGTAAATATCATCCAACTCAACCTCCCCATCTCCATCTGCTGGAAACTGATAATGTATGACCGCTTGTATGCTTTTCCAGGGGATCAAGACTCTCCACAAAGTCCTAAAGAGCAGACACATATGCTTACAATCCATGTTCTGGTTCTTATGGGTTTAATTAGAAAATGACACCAAGAACATTAGTCCTCCAATGCCCAATACTCTGCATAGATCAGGAAAGTTCAGGTTTCTGAACTTAAAATGCTGAAAATGAGAACAGTACTAGGAAGCCTCTAAAATTGCCCACACACATACCCATCTATGCAGCCAACAGTCCTATCTTTGGCATTTCTCTTTAATTTCAAGTTTTCTCTTGCCTTCATGAAAATCAATACTTAGAAGGATAGCTTTTTGTACAATTATCAAATATATTTTCAAACATTTGATTTGACATAAGGCTTGTGTTGTTGGAAACCTAAAATTACAAACATAAATTTAGAAAAACTTACTGATGATTATACATTTAAACTATCACTATTTCCTTCAATTTATAAGTCCTATTACCTAGCTATACATTTCCCAAATTCAACAGAAAGGTTTTATCCTAATTAACCCAAAATCCTATCTCTACCTTCAAGTCATGCTCAACAATGGGTTTTATTAAAGAACATTAAGACTTTCCAAATCATAGGCTTTGGTCAACCATAAGTGAAGATCCATTATCAACATTTTTGAGCTGAACAGAGGGAAAATGGAATCCTATTTCAGCAAAAAAGATGAAAAACAGGCTGTTTAGGCTTCAATAGCTTAGAAAAGCTACGAGCAGAACATAGGTCACTATGCAGTACAAGATTACATGGTCAGCCAGAAACAATGGTGCACACCTATAATCCCAGCAGCTGGGGAGGAGAATTGTGAGTTCCAAGCCAGCCTCAGCAATGGCAAGGCTTTAAGCAACTCAGTGACATCCTGTCTCTAAATAAAATACAAAATAGGGCTGGGAATGTGGCTCAGTGGTTGAGTGCCCCTGAGTTCAATCCCCAGTACCCAAAAAAAAAAAAAAAAAAAAAACAATTACATGGTCGAACATAGTTACACCCACAGGTGTCCCCAAAATGCAGCCACTAAAAAACCTGGGTTATATCCAACATAATAAAGGTGTTATTTTTTTCCTGTTTGAACATACTCGATAATATAAAGTTTGGCTTTTTAACTGAGTGTTTCATTATAAACAGAAATATACTTTCTCAAAATGACAATCCCATCACCAAAATCAATAAATAATCTGAATAATAAAATAATCTGATGTATTTTTTCTAAACATACACACATTTGGAACTATGTTTAAACACAATTTGAATCATACAATGTATTTAATTTTGTATAGTGATTTATTTTTCCCCCTTCTGGGGGCTGAATACAGGGATTTTCTCCCTCTGAGCTACATGCCCAGCCCTTTTTATTTATTTTGAAACAGATTCCTGCTGAGTTACCCAGTCTGGCCTTGAACTTGCAATCCTCCTGCCTCAGCCTCTGGAGCTGCTGAGATTACAGGTAAGCACCACAACATTTTGTTTTGTAATAAATTGGTAAGCAAAATTGATGAAAAGCCAGCCCTAAAATGTGGTGACTTCCTGAGGATATAGCTCAGTGGTAGAGTACTTGCCTCACATGCATGAGGCCCTGGATTTGATCCCAAGCAATGAAAGAAGAAAAAAAAAATTCTATGACTGGCCAGACACCATACTTGAGCTCAGTCAAGTATGGTGGATGAGTACTGACTATCATTGGACCAGAGAAATCTGCAAGATAAGACCTACTAGAAGGGGCTAGGGGTGGGGAGAGTAGCTCAGGGGAAGAGCACTTGCCTAACAGGTACAAGGCCCTGGGTTTGACTCCCACTACCACAAAAATGATAATTAATTAATTAATTAGGCCTAAAGTAGAGGCAGGTAGATTTGTATTTTTCTCAATATGAACTATTTGAGACCAGACCAGAATTTCTCTGTAGAACTGCCTTCATTTTTTTTTCTTTCGTTATACCCCTGAGGCACTCGAACACTGAGCCACATCCCCAGCCCTATTTTGTATTTTACTTACAGACAGGGTCTCACTGAATTACTTAAAGCTTCACTAAATTGCTGAGGCTGGCTTTGAACTCGAGATCCTCCTGCCTAGGCCTCTGGAGCTACCACTCCCAGCTCTGCTTTCATTTCTTTAAAGAGACAACAAAGATGTGTTATTTAAAGCTATACTTGTATTTCCCATCCAAGGAGACTCAAAAAATTAGCAATTAAGTTTCAAGGAAGGGGGTTGATGGTAGCCATGCATGATAGCACAGATCCATAATCTCAGCAACTGGGGAGGCTGAGACAAGAGGAACACAAGTTCAAGGCTAGCCTTTGCAACTTAGCAAGACCCTTAGCAACTTACACCCTGTCTTAAAAATAAATAAATAAATAAATGGAACTGTGAATACAGATCAATGGTACAGCACCTCCATTCAATACTCAGCATAAAAGAGAGAGGCTAATGGAAATGAAGAGTTTTCCTTATACTGCCTTAGAGCTATGCTGTTCAAAAGGCTGTCCTACCCAAATTAATGGGGTATATCAATATTTTTTTAATATGTAGCTAGGCACCATAGCACATGCCTATATTCCCGCACCTCAGCAGGTTGTAGCAGAAGGATCACAATTATGAGACAAGGAGATAGCTCAATAGTAAAGAGCCCCTGGGTTCAATCCACAGTGTATGTGTATGTGTGTGTGTATATATTTATTTTTTAAATAGTTTTAGTTGTAGATGAACACAATATCTTTATTCATTTTTGTGGGGGCTGAGAATCAAAACCAGTGCCTCACACATGCTAGGCAAGCACTTTACCACTGAGCTACAAACCCAGCCCCATGTGTGTATTTATACATATTTTACATACATTATATGGCATAGCACAAAAGATAAAATATCAGAATGTAGCTCAAGCAGTTGAAGTATTTTTCTGTGAAATTTCAGTTTCACTAAGTATGTGTGTATACGCTGGGTCACAAAAAGGAAAATGTATTTCCTTTGTCCTAGCTTCATAGTTCAACTTTTTCATTAATTCATTAAACAAATGTTTATTGAGCACCTATTCTGTGGTGCTGGAGAAGTAAAAGTGTGCTGATATGAAATAAGAAGACAAATATACTTGATCACTGCCCTTGTAGAATTCTCACATTTAGGAGGAAAAATC